ATATCATAATCTTTAAGGGAAAAATATTTTTTAAAGCCTCTAAAGGTACTGATCAACCTGCCGGCCTCTCTGTACACACATTAGTCCGTATTCTTAGGATTAGACTGTAAATTAGAAGTCCACAGATTCTTTAAGCAAAATAAAATAAAACTATTGAAACTATATATATTTTTAGGTATTCTAAAAACCAGCTTATAAATGATATGGTTCTTCATCTCCCCCACAGGCATCTCCTAACAAGGTACATCTAATTTGAAGAAGTGCCTCAAATCATGAAAAATGTAAAAAAAAGATGAAATTTCTAGTTTTATGGATATTAAGATAAGTAAAATAAGAGAATTCCCAGAAATAACTGGTTGGCTGTGTCCTGTCATAGGATGTAGTCTTTCTTGCTTTATCTTTTTGTATATACAGTAATTTATAATTTTGTAAAACAGTTTGAATCTCATATTGAAAATTAGATATTAAAAATTGTGTGATTTTATTTTATTTTTACTAGGTATATTATTTTCTCTATATGGTTAACATTCTAATTAAACGTTTAATTGTGTAAATTATCTCGTGAGAGTGCCAGTGAGAAATGATTTTTTTTGTATATGACTGTTAGTAATGTTTGTCAGATCATCATGTACCAAGTTAAATTTTATAATTCTTATTTAATATTTAAATACATGTATTTAGAATTTGTTTTTACTTGCATTAAATTGAAATGTGAATTTTATTAAAGCTGAAATATGAAAAAAATGTGTTTTCTTTGAATTAAAGATATTTGGAATAGAGGTTATGCTTTTGAAGTATGATTACTACATATGTATTGTGTATAAATAGGTATTGTTTGAATTGATAATTAGAATTCCGAGACAATTTCTGCCTTTTGAAGTTAGAACATCTGATATTGCTGTTTTAAATACAAAGAAGTCCAGTTGTTCTTGGACTGGCAAGCTGTATATTAAGGAATGAAAAGAATGTATGGGTGGCCTAGGTGTTCCATTTGGAATGTAGCAGAATACTCTGATGTACCCAGGAAGCCTCATTTAAAACAATGACAAAAATCATGACTTACAACAAAACAATGGATGACCTCCATCCTTTTAGTGAGTGGACAAAGCATGAGTTGCTTAACAATACGTGAACAGTGCAGTCGTTGGCTTTTTATCACTTGCCAACTGCTTGTGTTGGTGTCATGAAGACATATGTATCTCTGTGCTACATGGAAGCCGTCACTTCAATTTTGCAATTCCTGTGGTCTCTTCCATAACTTCCAGACAGTGTACCGTGTCTGTTTGTGTATGTATACATACATTCTCCTTTGTTCCTCAGAAATCCAAGCTTAAAAATGCCCCCTTGACTTCAGGAATGTTATGAAGGTACATTTTCAGTTTTTAGTTTTACTCGTTTTGATCTATGAGCAAAGACAACTCTGCATTAATGCTATGTAATAAAGAACGAAAAAAGACTACTTTTTAGTTAATTGTACTTATGTAATACTACATCTGGGAAAATGAAGTAGTTTTTGATTATAAGCATCTGGGGAGCTGAGGGCTATTTTTACAAGGTGAAGAGGCTATTGAATGATGACATAAAATAACTTACTGGTGAGATATATTTGGCTAAAAGACAGAAAATAGCCTAAAGGGGCTTCATGATTAGCATGGTTTTAATAAGATAAATGATTTCAGATGCAATTCTATGAAATTAGATTTTAAGTATTCTCATAGATGTCTAGTATGCCTCAGAAATATATTCCATGCTATATATTTTTTAAAAACCCACAGATATATTAACTATTACTTCAGTTAAAATCATGTTTATTTTACTACATGATCTTCATTTTCTCGTTGTAGTTATTTCAATAGAGAGGTTGAAAGGATACGAAAGAGACTTTTAATTTGTCTCCATAGAGAAAATTTTCTCATGTGGACAAATGAGTGATTGAAACGTGAGTAGGGTAAAATATTCATGGTGTCTTGGTAAGGTAATATCCACACAATCGGAGAAATGATCTCATTGTCTAAGCAGCAAGCCAGGAGGTTAACAATGTTTTCAGAATATTTAGAGCTACATCAGCTAAGTGGGCTGTTCTCAATGAAGAACTTACGGGATTTAGGCAAACAACCCAGATAAGCCTGGAGCTGTCTGTGTAATCACCTAACCTGCCACTTCACTTTTTATTGTACATCTTTTGCTTTGAAAGGCAAAATGTGGCCGGGCGCGGTGGCTCAAGCCTGTAATCCCAGCACTGTGGGAGGCCGAGGCGGGTGGATCACGAGGTCAAGAGATTGAGACCATCCTGGTCAACATGGTGAAACCCGTCTCTACTAAAACTACAAAAAATCCGCTGGGCATGGTGGCGCGTGCCTGTAATCCCAGCTACTCAGGAGGTTGAGGCAGGAGAATTGCCTGAACCCAGGAGGCAGAGGTTGTGGTGAGCCGAGATCGCGCCATTGCACTCCAGCCTGGGTAACGAAAGAGAAACTCTGTCTAAAAAAAAAAAAAAAAAAAAAAAAAAAAAAAAAAAAAAAAAAAAAAAAAAAAAAATGAAAGGCAAAATTCGGTTAGTAGAGCTAGCTCTTGACATTCTAGAGGAGAGGTAGTGGGCTTTAAACTTGGGAGAGAGGGGAGGTGTATGTTTTGTCATTTTCTACGTGGTAAGAAATCGTTGACTGGAAAATCTAACTCTATCTAAAGTAGCTTTTCCCCACATTTTCAAATTGCTTCATTTGCTGCAAATCATTTATAAATCTATGCAATCACACTTGTTGGTTTCTTATCTACCTCAACACAACAAGTGGCAATGAATTCTCTGTACTGTAGCAGGAGCGTTCGCTGGAAAGGGATCTCTCCAATGCTGAATAAAGGTGGGAGGAGTTTATTCGGCCGGGAGACCAGACAGTAATTTGTTGAAAACCCAGCTCCTCTAACGAAGGAAGGTTCTGCTTTATGTAGGCTTATATTTTAGATGTTACATGTGGAAGAATCTTAGGTCCATAGTTTTAGGACTCACATGCGAAAAGGTTTCTGGTTTGATCTTGTTTTAAGTAAAAATAGTGTCATCCAGAGAGTTTCCCCAAGACCAAGCATGTTATTTTCAGGAAGGAGATTCAGGAGGCGCCAGCTGGCCTGCTCTCTCTTCTATTGAGCTGCACAGTGGATGACAGAGGTGGAGGGAATCCCAGATGCCTAGATCTTCTTCCTCATTACAAGAGAAGAGACTGTCTGCTGAAGCATTTCTAGAGCCTCCAAAGATGTCTGGTTCATAGTAGGTACTTTGTGTAGTGAAAGAATAAACAATCATCTCATACTCCAGTGAATGAGATTAAAGAACACCCTGTAATGGTCATAAAAGGCAGACAATGATTTATGAAGCACTATTGAGCAGTTGTCTAGTGACTCATCAAAACATTTATGCTTTCTATGAAAACATAATGATGTTTACCCACCTCATTTCTACCCCTATAACTGCTTCAATTTATCCAACTCATGGATACAAGGAACCCTCCTACACTGGCATTGAAACTCAATGCCTGTGGGCCAGGTGATTAACACAAGTGATCTGATGGTACCACAGAGACCTTACTTGGTCTGGGGTAGGGCAGGTTTACAACCTCACTGCATCTTACTGGCCCATGCTGCTAAGTGAGAATGCAGGCTTCCTCTTGATTTTTCTAGGAAAACTGCAATCTGGATTTTTATGTGAAACATCTCAGTCTCTAAATGTTGGCATTTACTACAAAAATTCCAATGTATATGCCAGCCAAATAAAAAAATCTGGAGCCCTTTTTGGCTCAGGAGCTGCTATTATTTGACAGCTGATGGACAGTTTTCTGTCTGGTCCCTATGGAGATTTAGTGATTGGTTTTATATTTGTGCCTTGGCTTTGGCCTGGCAGCTCCCTAATACCCTGCTCCTGGGGAGCTTTCTCCTGGGCTCCTTCTGTGTAGCCCCCAGCAAGGTAAACCACATCTCTATGTCTTTCACAGAACCCTGCAGTACCTCTTGATCCTCAACGAAGGTAACTCTTTGCCTCTTCAGTGTGTGCCAATCATAGGTGGAGAGGTTGATGAAGGGGAAGAAGTGCAGAGAGGGAGTGAGAGAGACAGACAGAGATAGAGATAGATAGATAGGTAGATAGATAGTCGGTTTGAGATAAACATACTGCTCTATTTACCTATCTGCATCAAGCCAGATGTATTAGGTTCTCTTAGAGGGACAGAACTAATAGGATGTGTATGCATGTATATATTTATATACATGAGAGTTTATTAAGTATTAACTTGCACAATCGCAGGGTCCCACAATAGGCTGTCTGTGAGCTGAGAAGCAAGGAAAGCCAGTCTGAGTCCCAGAACTGAAGAACTTGGAGTCTGATATTTGAGGGCAGGAAGCATCCAGCACAGGAGAAAGATGTAGGCTGAGAGGCTAAGCTCATCTCTCTTTTTTTCACGTTTTTTGGCCTGCTTTATATTTCCTGGGAGCCGATTAGATAGTGGCCACGAGATTAAGCTTGGATCTGCCTTCCCCAGCCCACTGACTCAAATGTTAATCTCTTTTGGCAACACCCACACAGACACACCCAGAATTAATACTTTGTATCCCTCAATCCAATCAAGCTGACAGTATTAACTATCACAAGTCTACCCCTTGTCAACTCAAACCCATAGATGTCTTCTGAGATCATACATAATCTTCAAATTAAAACAATAATGAGGTCATAATCACGCCTAACGTAATACAACTATCCTTCGTACAACCGGAAACGCACCAGCCCCCAACTCAAATACTATCACATAAAGTTAACAATACTTAAACGCTGATATGAAGTCAGGAAATCTTACGTCACATGATAAAGGAAAAGGAATTAAAACGAAGACATTTTCTTAGTACAAGTGCATGCATGCACAAACATGCTCTTAACAAAAGGAGGAAATACTCATGACGGTTACAGTCTTCGTTTCTGGAGCTGGTCACATGGTTGTAGCTGGTACCGATGACTATCTTATACCACCCATTCTACATTCCCCTGGCCTTCAGCAAACACCTCAGCAGGCCATGGTTTTTTTTTTCCTGGTAGAGTGACCCAAACCTTCATTCCTGAAGGGTCTGGACCATTTGTAGTCCTGCCTGGACGGGGCTGTGGTAGTTTTCCTATCGACCTTCATCAAAGGACATGGTAATACTAACAGATGCCCTAGTGGATCTCCTGTATTTCATGCATACGCTTCCTTACTTCCATTATGGAGTAGTAGAAGGATTTCATTTAGATAAAACGGGTCAATCACCTCAGCCAACACTGTAACTCCGTTCTTAGCCTGTTGACTTAAAGATAGGAGGAATCCAAAGTGTCCAGCTGCTAATCTTAACTTCCAGTTTAATGGAATTGTTGCCATGTCTCCCGGTGGCAGTGTTCCTCCCTTTGGAACTAAGACCTCTAGGCCAGCAGAATGTAACGTCTTGAGAACAGGAAAGAAATTTTTGCTACTAGATCACTAGGGGTGATGGTGTGATGCCACTTTCACTTCCACCCCTTGATTCCTGGACCCATGAATCTTGGCTATAAGAGAAACAGACCATTTATTGAATGCAGATTCAGAGCATACACGGCCTTCTGGAGAACTTTGCCTCAGGCCTGCAAAGTATTGTTGCTTAGTTGACGTTGTAATTGTGACCTCAAAAGGCCATTCCA